TAAAAAAACCCCTCCTATATCATAAGGCAGTCTTTTGGGGAGTAGGATTATCATATCACTACCCATTATCAATCTGGGTGGAAATTATCACTTTGAGGCTCAAACAGAGTAAAAGTAAAATTTTGGTTAGAGCAAACCATGATCAAGCTGAGTGGAAATTATCTCTTTGAAGTCTGAATAGAGTAAATAAAATTATGCAACACAAACCTGCACAATGAACGAATTGATGTATCACTGAGAATAGACAAAATGGTATACTAAGTAGAGAGTGAGACAACAGGGGACCCAATTTCCCTGATACCACTGCTGATGCATGTGTTCCCCTTTCTTGAGGCCAATACACATGGTAATAGCAGCATCAGATCTCAGTGTGGGGCAAACCAAAACAAATCAGGCTTCAAATCAAAGGAACTGTTGCCCTCATGCCTAGGGCTCTTACAGCTGGTATTATTTGCAAGACGCCAAGGTCAAGATTCTCATACAGATTGCGTCCTGTAGTGGGTTGGTGCCTTTTTCTGTTTTTCATCTCACTCATCCTGCACAGTTATCTGCCCTTCCAAACCAACTTCGTATTCGCTCTGATATTTAGGCACAAATTCTTTTCTGACTGGGAGGGGTATTTGTGCTAAGCTTAACTGTCAAAAAGGAGAATTATCTTATTCTGTATTTTTTTTTGCTGTTCTTCTGTGATGTTGTTAAAATCAACCAAATATGTATCTCTAAAAAAAGTTTCAAATATGCATCACTCTTGCCATGTTTTCTAAGGTTTTTTCTGAGCTGATGTCACTCTTTTTTCTTGATCGTGTGATCTCACTCTCCAAATATATGTGACCTTTTAGGTATTTGTCCGATTGATGATCTCATCTCATTCGTTCTCACCTAAACGAGTCGCTGATTATCCAACTTCCGGTACCCAACTTCATGACGCCAAAGAACGAAGGTGACCGTCTAATTTGGGCTCTACCTTGGATCCAATCCAACTGAATGATAAGCTGACACGTATGAAACTGAACCATTCCAGCCCAAAGCAGCTTTGGCTTCTTGTTCCATGATGTGACTAAACTCAAATAAACGTCCTTGTTTGTGCTCTAGTGGAGCACTTCTAGAAGCGACAGCTTCATCCATATATCCACATCAAGAGGAGGAGTAGGATTAGTCTGCAAGCCTCCACTAATGACTAGCACAAATCTTCGGATTAATGCTTCGTTTATCTCTTGGATTGGATTTGGCCACCACCTCTCATCTTAATAAACAAATGCAATCGAAATACCATACGTTCAAGGACGATGGATATGTTTTGTTTCAGTTCCCTTCCAGAAGAAGGATGGATGAGTTAAAGCTTAAAAAGGCTTTGGTTTTGATGCTTCCAAACTGTTAAAAAAAACAAAGCTGGTTAATTTGTCCTGAGGCTTTTGGCTTTCTGACTGAAATGGAGAAGCACCAAACTTGGACCGGGGCTCGAGTAACACTGTTGTAGCTGTGAACTCCAGCACAGAGACTGCCCTCTGCCTCTGGTCTCTGGATGGAACTTTTTCTTGTGTTTTCCAGACCCTGTGTTCAGGCTTCAGTCTGAAACTCTGAATGGATAGTAGTGTGTACTAGTGTAGATAGTGATGATTGTAGAATGCAGGAATGTTCACATGCATGCAGGTTTTATGGAAGTACTCCTTCTCTTGCAGTTGCCGTCTTAATTATCCATAAACATAGGGGATCAATAACAAATAAATAAAGAAAACCTTGATTTATTATAATGGATGAACAGCTGCAAGATCTGAAAACCAAACAGCAAAGGCCAAATCCTTCTCTCAGAATGAAAGGCCAAGATCAAACTATGTGATATAATAGCATATCTTTCTAACAAAAAGCAGGGTCAGTCAGACTTCCATTCAAAAAACAACTAAGATCTCACAAAGCACCTCATTATGAAATGTCCCTGCAAAAGATAGCAAATAAAAAAAAAGAGAGGTGCTAAGTGTACACCTTTGATGCGGCTATGCCAGCTGACAATGAGTCCCAGTGCAGGCAGAATATTTTCAGGCCCACCCACCAGCGTCTGCGGGGATCAGGACATGTCCAACCATGACAGTGAGAGAAGCTAGCAGGATTATTTTAATATAAGTAACTATTTTTACAGACAGTACTAGTACGTCGTAGCTAACACAGCCTTTGGAAAATGTTTCAATTAGGCTAAGAGAAGACAGGCTCTGCCATCTGATTGTTTACTTCTCTGCCTTTTTCCCCTCAGTAAAAAAAAATATTTAATATGCCTGTTAATTTAGAATTACCCCACCACTTCCCTCAAAAGAATACACGACCACATAATTGTACTCCATGCCCACCTTTTGAAGGCCCATATTGGCACGGCTGCAATTGTCCAGCAACCTCGAGGGCATATCTGTAATTCCCGTATAAATCTGGTACACGACATTCCATTTGTTGGATTAGCTTACATTATCCTATTTGTCTTCTTTTGAATGGTTCTCAATATAGTATGTAAAGCTTTTAAAAAGGAATTGCTACTTGGCGTGATTTTAAAAAGGATTGCTACTTGGCAAATGTGACGAAAGCTTTGTAATGTCATTTTGCTTTTAGCATAAGAGAACTACACCATGTTTGCTTGGACTTGTTTGGCTTATAAGCCATACTTTTTTAGTCAACGAACAGTATTTTTCTCTCACATCAAATCAGCCAACAGTACTTTCAGCCATGACTTATCAACCAAACAAGCCCAAGCGAACATGACGCTAATAGAAAAATAATTCTTGAAAAGAAAGAATTATAAAAACAATGGCTATCGTTTTCTCATCAAGATTGTAGTACGATATAGTACTATCCTTCGTGCAACTCAAAATTTATATAGATAGTTCCATATCTGTTAGGATCTTCCTCCTATCTACTCTTTTCATTTTTTATCTGAATTTTGTTTTAAAGGGAAAGGTACTTAAATTCTAAACTTTTCTTTAGTTCATTTTGTCTAATGCCATCTTATTATCTGTCCCTAAATAGAAACGATAGCAAACTAATTGGTCTTTACATCAGTTGATGAAAGAGACTAATGTTTGGCTATTCTAAGGCCCCGTTCGCGTGTCCTTGAACCCAGCTTGATCCGCTTGTTTTTTTATTCGGAACAGTGTTTTTCTCTCACAACATTTCATCCGAAACAATGTTTTTCATCCACTTTCCTCCAAAAACCCTCCAGCCGAACGGGGCCTAAGTGATTCTTTTTTCTGGGTGAAGAACCTGTCATTTTGTGGGAATTATTGGATTTAGAATAGGAGTACGTCTTTTCAATCATTCTGCCCTTTTTGGCCATAGTGCTTCTGAATTATTTCTATACGATGGAATACTTTTTTGTTTTTCTTTAGATTAGTGAAAATTTTTAAAGGATAAAAAGGTGGAGTAAACCTATTTTTTTCTTTAAAACGAGTTCCCTCTTAAGGTTTTGGTAAACAAAGTGATCTTGCATGCATGGGGATTTGGTTCATGCCTTGGCCCTACTAGCAAATGTGTCCATGTGCTGCAGCAGGACTCAATATGTCTTGGAATTAGATTTCTTACGATCGCTGCACATGAGTCATTCTAACTTGTATAAGTATGGCACAAGTCTAGGCCATATACGGGACATGGAGGGTATAAGAGTATTTTGGGAAGTAAAAAAAGATGGTTGAAAGAATCTCTTTGCTCTTAATATTAGATATTGATTTACTTTGGTTGCACATAGTAGCCCATCATGTCTAAACCAGATGCGAGCCATAGGGCCACGTCACAGTTCAAACCTCACTTTTGCAAGTGAGCGCGGAGCTGAGACGCATAGTGGACACCAAGCATTTTGGATTTTTTTTGTGTCTATGGCTTAAACACAACAATAAATAGATCAAACACGCCTCTTGTTTCTTTTTTTTATTGCTACTCCCTCAATTGCAAAGAAAAACATGAAAAATCTTGTTCTTAAAGAGTTATTTTTTTTAATTTTGACTAGATTTATAAAAAAATAATATAAATATTTCTATCTTCAAATATGTTTGTTTTTAAAATATCTTTTAATTAGTCTAGTGATACTTTTTATGCATCACAAATATAAATATCTATTATATATTTTGTATGCATCACAAATATGAATATTTTTTATATATATATTTGGTCAAACGTAATATTGTGCAAGGGAGGGAAGCGAGATTTTTCCATTGACAGTAGTATCTACAATAAAATCTCAATCTGAGAGGTGACTAAATCATGCAATTGTAAATGGAGATGTCAAAGTAAAAATCTCCTCAGAATCACGGTGAATGGCACCACAAATGAAATGATGTGGCTAAAAACATAGGGTAGCATCAGCGTCCCGATTTTGCCCCTCGTGGAGGGAATGATACCTGCCTCGGGAGCAGGGAAGGAGGAAAAAAAGAGAGAGAGAAAACGCAAAAGGGCGAGCACAGCAAAGCAACAAGAAAGCAAAGAGAAAACCAAAACACACACACACACTACACCCAAACCCGAGAAGAGAAGAGAGGTGAGAACCCAAAGAAGCCGAAGCCAGCGAAGCGAGGAGGAAGACGCACCAGGACATTGACGAGCAGCAGGCCGCAGCAGCAGCCCCCGGAGCCCCAGCACTGGGGCAGGCAGGCTCGCTCTCCGCCGCAGCCGCCGCCGCCGCGTGAAGCAAAGCGCGCCCCAGCCCCACGGACGCTGACGCTGACGCTGGGACCCGCGCCTGCTGGGTGGGAGGCTGGGAGTAGGCCCGCCACCCCCCCTGATGGGCGCCTGCGCGCCGGCGGCGAGGGGAAGCGTGAGGACGAGGAGAGCCGGCGGGCTCCGCGCGAAGCAGGCCGGGCGAGCCAGCCGCCGCGCCACCTAGAGGAGGGCGCCGCCGCCCGTCTTTGCTTGTTTGCTCGCACGTCCTGTTCCAGTTCCAGGCCAGAGAGAGGAAGGCTCAGAAGGGGACTGCAGGCGGCGGCCTGCGGAGGAGCTAGGGTTCTCTCTCTCACTCTCCCTGCGTCGCCGGGATGGCGGTCGGGGACGCGCTGCGCCGGCTCTGCGAGGAGGTCGGCTGGTCCTACGCCGTCTTCTGGAAGGCCATCGGCGCCGCCGACCCTGTGTAAGCTCCACCCCTCCTTCCTCCTCCTCTTTTTTCTTTGGATCTTAAGCTTCTCCTGCAGCTCTATTTGCCAAGAAATCCCATCCCATTCTTTTCGGAACGTTCGTATGCAACTTTTCGCTCCCCGGGCTTGGGCTTTGGAGTTTTGCAGCGCATTCCGTTTAAGCTAGATTTGCCTCGTAGACAAGCGAACCGCGCGTGGGGGAACATTCGGATGGGCATATTCCTCGGCATCCTTCCCGATATGGGAGCTCTTTACTTCAAACAAACAAACTAACTGATTGAGTTCGCGCTGCTGCAAATTTACTAGAACGTGTACCCATTGAGTTCGCACTAATGTGCGTGAGTTCTTGGGGGTGGACAAGGGCGGGAATGCGTGAAATGCGCTTGCATTTCTGTGTAACGGCTAATGTGCTGCGCTTTTTGCTTCGTGATGTGCTTAGTGCACGAATTCAGCTGTTCTTTGCTGATTTGTTGTCTTCGCCTCGTTGACGTGCAGGCATTTGGTGTGGGAGGACGGTTGCTGCGGCCACGCGTCATGCTCCGCCGGATCTGAGGCTCCTGAATCTGGGTGTGAACCGGGCACCAGTGTGTGCACGCTTGTTAGGAAGGTCATGGCCTCGCAGATTCATGTCGTTGGTGAAGGGTAAGCAGGAATTTTGTTTTGCTTGTTACAACGTTCGTAGCTAAGAAGTGCTTCGGTGTTGTTGGAAAAGTTCAAGCTTTACTGATGTATGTATGTATGTTCTATGCTGTGTTTGTACTCTTCAGTACCATTGGCCGTGCTGCTTTCACTGGGAATCATCAATGGATTGTCCATGATCCTGCTGCCAATGATCACAATCTCAGACCCGAGGTACGATTCCTTCTTCTTCCCTTGTGAACCGATATAAATGTAGCCCGATTTCAGTTTTTCCGTGGTCCATTTTGCTGTCACCCTATTTAAAGCGTGAGGCCAAGGGATTTATGCCACTGCACAAGTCCTTGTGGGGTTATTTTGTCCTCGAGTATTTGTTCTACGTCTTGAAATTTTGGCTTGTAGTGAGTTTGGTCTATTATTCTGTGAACAAGTTGTCATTGTGATAAGCTAGCTGCGAAAGCACACAAATAGACACGCGAAATAAGTGGAGATATCTTTCAAGGTTCTTGTTTGTATGGTTTTCCCTTCAGCTGAAGTCAACCATGATGGCATTTCCCTTTCTTCATGCACGCACCATGAGGATTTCCTCAATATCTTTGGGGGCTTGCTTACTTATTGTCTAAGCAGATAAATGTTTGGTTTGTTTGGGGGATTTTAAATTGTAATATGAGCTTCTGTGATGGAACATCAAACTGATTATGTTCTTCTTACGATGATAGCTTGCCGCTGAGATGAATCATCAGTTTGCAGCTGGCATTCAGGTTAGTACGATTTTTTTCCTTGCATGGTGGATTATTCACTGAAACAATGTTTGCTTCTGAGCTCTCAATAAGTTATTGTCTGCAGACTATTGCAATTATTCCTGTGTTACCACGAGGTGTACTGCAGCTAGGCTCTACAAGTGTGGTAAGATATCCATGCTTTAGCAACTGGGATTACTATATAGTATATATCGTTCTACATGTCTTGAAGTTGTTCTCTGTCATTATTATATGGCCATGATGTACTACTTTATGACTGTGTTACATTGTTGACTGGTCAAATGTTCTGTTCCCTTGATCTCTGTATATAAACTATATTGTCGTGAGGTCCAAGGAGACAAAACCTTCTTGTGGACAGTAGCGGAACCCTGAAAAGAAAAACAACTTGTGATAATTGTGCTCTATTTTTGCACTTAGGATTGCTGTGAAAGAAATAATATCTCTTTATGCTAACTGTACTAACCATGCTTATGACATGTTAGAACTTATATGAATGCTTATTTTCTGGCAGGTAGTGGAAAATACCAACCTTGTGCTCCAGTATAAGAAGCTATGTTCTCAGCTGAACAATCGGTCGAGTATGGCTTCATCATCATCTGTTAAAAATGATTTGAACCAGAAAGTTCAGTCACGCCCTTTGAATGGCCCCACAAGTATATACCCTGCAGATACACGCTCAAAGTTTTTAAATGGATCCCCAATGAGATATCAACAATGTTATGGTCCTGATGGCACAACTGTCTCTAGTAGTACATTGGCAAACATGGGCAGTAATGCTTCAATGCTTATGGTTGCACAAAGAAATGGCCAAGTGGGTAAAGAACACATTCTATATGCTCCTGACATGAGGTTCAGCCCGCAAAACCCTTACTGTGACAGGAGAGTTCAGAGTAACACCCAAAGTAGTGCTGTGAGCTCTGGTTTTATCTCGTCTATCTCAGCATCAATGGAAAGGCATCCATTGATGACCAACAGTCAACAGTTAGAACAAGGAAACACTGGAGAACCATCATATCCCAGAAATGTTCTCTTGAAATCTCTTGCATACCGTAACCCTTTAGTCCATGAAAACACAAACATGACTTTGTTGCATGACAGAGGCCAGGTGCCAGGTTTTGTTAATGGTCATGGGGGTTTTGATTTTCTCCCAGAAGGTACTAGGGTAGTCAAGGGCAACCTGTATGGCAGCACAGCAAATCAAATTTTAGACCAAAGATGCAGTTCTGCTTCTGGGATGACAGGGCACAGGCCAACTATTTCATATAAAATGCCCCAATCTACCCAATTTGTTAGGAAAGCGGAGAGTCCCAAAGAGAGAGACATGTCAAGCTTCTGCTGCTCTGTCGTCTGGCTCTGATATTCAGGTTTCTGGTGGCTTGAAAACAGCCATTTCTCAAGAGAATCAGATGAGTAGCTCTGATCTTATTGGCACAAAAAAGGCTAATGAAGTGCATGACCCTACTGATGCAATTGTGCAAGCTGTCAAGAATATGGATCGCCTTGAGGCTCCCAGACATATCTAATGAGAGATCACCGCCGCTCCTTATGGATCCTGCTGCAGAAAGTGATTTGTTTGACATGTTTGGTTCCGAATTTCATCATTTGTGCCGCAATGTGGATAATGATCTTACCTGGAAAGCTGCAAAACCGAGTTCAAATAGAGATGTACCTGAATCCTCTGTTCATCTTGGTTCCTCTCCAGCCTTCAATTCAGTGGATGACGAGTTCCCTTATTCTGGGATCTTCTCACTGACTGATACCGACCAACTGTTGGATGCAGTTGTCTCCAATTCCAATCCTGGTGGCAAGCAGATCTCTGGTGACAGTGCTTCTTGCAAGACTTCAGTGACAGATATTCCTAGCACTTCGTATTGTCGCTTAAAAGAGCCAAGGAAGTCTGAATCATCTGGTGCTCCTCTGCTAATCAAGAATGAGTTAGCCGTTTCAAATTTTGTTAAACAGACATCTTTCCCAGAAAAGGCAGAGGATGGCTGTCTTTCTCAAAATAATGCAATACAGAAATCTCAGATACGCCTCTGGATTGAGAGCGGACAGAACATGAAATGTGAAAGTGCCTCGACCTCAAACAGCAAAAGGCGTTGATCGTCAAGCAAGGCAAGTCGGAAGAGGTCTCGGCCAGGAGAGAATCCTAAGCCACGACCAAAGGACCGCCAGCTTATTCAGGATCGTATAAAGGAGCTCCGGGAACTCGTACCTAATGGGGCAAAGGTATCCTCTTCTTCTACTCGTGCATTTCAAATGCGCGTTAGGAATTTTAGGATTATTTAAGGTTCAATTGCACTTGTTTCAAACTTCATATGCTTGTGCAATGACTGTTAGTCTCACAGCATTTTTTGTCAACAGTGTAGCATTGATGCATTGTTGGAGAAGACCATTAAGCACATGCTTTTCTTGCAAAGTGTGACAAAGCATGCAGATAACCTCAAGGACTCAAATGAATCTAAGGTATGCACATACTTATTAATTTTGTGATCTAATTTGCAGCGTTTTTGAGAAGGTAATAGTTACTAACCTCATGCAATGTGTTGTGTGTGGCTATGGGTAAACTCCAAACAGATTCTTGGTGGTGAGAATGGTCCACTTAAAGACTACTTGAAGGTGGTGCCACTTGGGCCTTTGATGTTGGTAGTCAATCTATAGCGTGTCCAATCATTGTCGAAGATCTTGACCGGCCTCGTCAGATGCTTGTGGAGGTAAATGATTCTGCTATTGCTGGATCTTTCAACTCTTATTATTGTCAATGCATGCATATTGCTGATGGTGTTGCCTCTGTAGATGCTTTGTGAGGATAGAGGTATCTTCTTGGAGATAGCTGACTTTATTAAAGGACTAGGATTAACCATCTTAAGAGGCGTTATGGAAGCACAAAAAAATAAAATCTGGGCACGGTTCACTGTTGAGGTAAGCAGTTCAATGCATTATGAAAGTTCTCTAGGTTGGCTGAGAACTCAGAAGGCTAGAATAGCTTCCCCTCACAGCATGTTAAATGTTTTTCATGACTTCAGATTTCTTTTGCTTCCTCCACTGTCTGCTTCATGGAAGTTCTTATTTTTACTTTGTTTTTGCAGGCCAACAGGGATGTGACTAGAATGGAAATCTTCCTTTCCCTAATGCGCTTGCTGGAACCGAGTTGTGATGGCGGTGGAGCAGGAGAGAATCCTAATAACAACACAAAAATGCCTCTTGGGATTGTGCGGTATCCCGTGATCCCTGCGACAGGTCATCTTAGGTGAGCCAGCCAGCACAAAGATCACAGGAGGCATCTTTGAAATGCTAAGAGCTGGAGGTCGACCCACTTCTGCCATGACTAGCATTGTCAACCCTGGACGAGCTGGAATGTCGTGACAATGCAGTGCATCGTCCCTGCAGTGTGCATTCGGAAAGCCTAACAGTAGACGGGAATGGAGACATGGATAGTTGGCTCGGCGGATGATCATTAGACGATCGATGTTTTGACTATAATCTTAGTTTCTGTTTGTTGCTGATGCTTTTGCCTTTTGTTCTTCTGCCTATTAGTGAATTTTGTTATGTTCTGCTGCTGAATGGAAATTCTGAGTCGGAGCTCTCTCTTTTTTTTAGTGTTCCTGTGTGATTACTAATGAGAAACTAGTTTTACTGTTTACCAAGTTATAAGGTTCTCTTTCTTTGTTCTCCCAAATTCTCTTGTACGTTCTACGTTGTACCTATCCATCAAGAGGTTTCATGGGTTAAGATGCATGCAATTCATTTGCAGGCTTGCAGCACTGTACAATCAAAAATTCATTTGCAGGCTTGCAGCACTTGGTTAACGTCCATACCATCAAAAATTCATGAAAGAAAAGCATACATAATACCAATTGGTAAAAGGAGATTCATCTTTTATGGCTACAGATATTCAGATGTGCATCTGTTCTCCAATGGCAGGGTGAAGCTATACAATCATAGAACCCAAAGCTGCCATTACTGAAAAAAAAGGATGCCGGCCAGCTGTGGTACTGCCCCCATCCTGTAGCGAAGACATTTGTATCCTGTTCCAAAACCAATTTATCACGATGTGACAGTAGACCCTGTGAAGCGAAATGCATGCCTATTTTAAGAGCCTGTTGGGAATACAGGAATTTTACACGAATTGTAAGAATTTTTAAAGAAACCAATATAATTTCAAAGAAAAACACTGGATTCAAGAAAAAAAAACTATGCATTCCAAACATGGTCTAACTTTGTCGTTGGCTTCGTCAATCAATTCAGTTTTTAAAGGAAAAACACGATTCAAGAAAGATCATGCGTTTGGAGCCAAGTAGTTTTTATTTATACAGCATGTTCGTTTTGGCTGGATTGCTCATATCTGACTTATAATCCATGGCTTGAACAATATTTTTTTCTCACACCAAACCAGCCAACAGTAATTTCAGCCATGACTTATAAGCTAATCTAGCCGAAACGAAGAGGGGCTGATAGTTTTGAAGGAGACGGCTAAATCTCTTATGCCACTATTTAAAACGTTGCGTTGGCTGGACTCTCTCTCTCTCTTGTCGACCCACTGGGCAACTGCAGCTGCCGCTAGCGCTAGTTGCTCAGGTGGCCAGGTCTCTCTGTCCCTTCGGCAGGGACCTTGTTGTGTCGTTAGCAGGCAATGAGCACCCGGCAGGTATGTGTTTTTGCAAAATTTATTGGATGTACATGTGTACACCCATGTTGTTTACTGGGTCCACCCTTGGTCCGTTTATTCCATTTGTGACAAATAATATAGAAGCTTAATAATAGAACACAGTGCCTATTGCTCTCTCCGTTCTAAATTATAAGTCGTTCTAACTTTTTGTGAGAGTCAAAACATTTTAAGTTTGACCAAAATTATAGAGAAAATTACAAAGATTTATGACATCATGTAGTTATATTATGAAAATATAATAAATGAAGAATCTAATCATATTTACTTGATATTATAAATATTATTATTTTATTATATAAAGTTGGTCAAAACTTGAGATGTTTCGACTCTTCAAGACAATTGAAATGACTTATAATTTGGAAATGAGGGAGTAGTTAGCAGGAGGTATAAAATGTGATCTCAGTAGGTTTCATATTCATACAGTCGTGTGGAGGGCAGGCCTACTTAAATTCAAGGGACAATTCTCATTTCTTTTTTTTTTGTCAACTTCTTCCAATCTACTTGGATATTGGAGAGTTTCTTGTATCTTATAACTTTTTTTTTTACTTAACCCATACTTATGATCTATATTCATACAAATCAGAATAGCTCGCGTCTAGTGATGATGGATACATGGTTCGACTCCAATATGTATTAGGTCACGTTCTTCGTATCTCGTATGTGTCAGACTCATGACCCATGTACATACAAACTAGAACAACTCATACAAACTAGGTAGTGTTTGGTTTCACCTCTGCAAACGCTAACGCTAACGATATCATACCACGGAGCGAATGGGAAGAGAATGAGTCAAAACGAGATTTGTTTGGTTTGAGCATGTAGCGGTATCGATTGCGGTATCAATCGTGATCTCACCACCGATTTGATTACGCGCGAGGTGGGAGGTGTAACAACTTTATATATAGCGGTATCGATTATGAGGAAAGTGAATACGGCCATCACCGAAACAAACAAAATTTAATGGAATCGGTGTTATCCCTTTGCGTTACAAATAACTGAACCAAACACTTCGATAGAACAACTCGCGTCTAGCGATTATTCGGAGTTCGATTTCTTTACATATTGGGTTATGCTACAACGCATCATACGTTTGCTAGTACTTATATATTTTTTTAAAAAAACCGGGTATATAACTATGTATATACGTGTTGTTTTTTTTTTGAAAAAATATGTATATACGTGTTATTAGGAAAACAAAGAAGACCAAAATACATAACATGGTGTTCACAAATTCTCCTCGCGCTCTCCCTCAACCCGGCGGCGGCGGCCCATCTAGCTCAGTTCTCTCTCCCGCGGCCTCGTAGTCGCAGGCGCTGCTAGGTCGTCCCCATCGCCGTGTCGGCTTTCGGCGTTTCGCGCAGAACAGAGCCTGCGGCTTCTGCTCCTCTCTCCCGTTCCATTCCAAACCCTAGGGCCGAATCTCCGGCTAGGCGGCGGCGGGCGCAGCCACGCTGTCCACGCAGGGCTTGGGCGGCCTTAGGACGCAGGTGCGCTGCCTGGGGGCGCCGGGTGGCTGCGGAGGGCTGGGGCGGCCCGCGGCTAGGGGCAAGTCGGCAGCGGCAAGCAACCGGGGTGCTGGGCGTGGGAGGCCTGCGGCAGCGGGCAGCGGCACCAAGGGTCGAGTGTTGACCGTCCTGAGGCAGGAGCAGAGCAGCTGAGCTGGTCTGGTACTCTATTGATTCTCCATTGGAGCAGCCACCAGGTGTGAATCCAATTTGTAAGTTAATTTGGTGAATTGGCTTTCCGTTTCACTATATTATATCAATTGTAATTTGTGAATGTTTGTGAAACTGTAACAGATACGGATATTAATTCACTGATGATATGTTACTTATATATGTTAAATAGTTTGTGAAACTGGGACTGTTCTACATGTAAAACAATTTCTAGTTATGTTCAATTCTATATGAATTTATTAAATCATGCTCAATTCTATATGAATTTATTAAATCATGCTCAATTATGTATTACATCTCTACTATTATGTGGTATTATACATGACAAATATTAGGCTTTAGGTTGTAAAAAAAACTTTTGATAGCCCTTCGCATTTCAAATAACCAACCCTTAAATTGTGGGCCCACCACTGTGTGTGTGTGAGGGAATCTTGTTCAATTCTATATGAATTTATTAAATCATGCTCAATTATGTATATCTCTACAATTATGTGGTATTATACGTGACAAATATTAGGCTTTAGGTTGTAAAAAAAATCTTTTGATAGCCCTTCACATTTCAAATAACCAACCCTTAAATTGTGGGCCCACCACTGTGTGTGTGTGTGTGTGTGTTGGGGGGTACCCAAAATATAAAAAAGAGCTTCTGTGTCTTTGTTTCCATTGTTTCAGTACTACATATGCTCTCGTACTTTCCTGGTATTTGTACCAATACATTGCCTTTCGTGATGCAGTGATGGAAGGTGCTACAATTGCTATTGAGATTGATGGGAGGCCATCTGTCTTGGCAGTGTCGAAGATAATGAACAAGAAGCTGAGGAGAATGGAGAAATGCAGCAAATAATTTACACTGCTGAAAATGGGGAGCAAGTAGCCTTTGACAACCAAGAGCAGGGGAGGAGGAAGATCCGGCAGGAAATGAAGAAGAGGATAGGGAACATAATTCTATAATCCCAAGCCGTGAGGAGTTGACTGAAGAATTACGAAATAAAGTCGCATATAGTGAGGAAGAAGCTTACAGGTTGTACTGTGACTATGGGCACCGTATGGGCTTTAGTGTTCGGAAGGGAAAGCAGTACTACTTTACCGGGACCAAAACCATCCGTACTAAAGATTATTACTGCTCAAAAGAAGGCTTGAAGGATGATGAGCAGCTTACTGAAGCAAACTTTAATAAGCCAGAGACCAGAACTAATTGCAAAGCGATGGTCCGTTTTAGGGTTGATTCTGAAGGTCAATGGCGAGTTATTCAAATAATTCCTGAACACAATCATGAGCTAGTTCGACCAGAAGAGATACACTTACTGAGATCAGTGAGGATTCTTTCAGTTCCGAAATCTGGTGTGCTGAATGCAATGGTGAATGCTGAAATCCAAGCAATGCATGACAGTTTACATATAAATGAAGATGGTACAGAATGCCACAGCCAGCTTAGCATCCGTAGTTACACACTGCTTGAACCAGAGGAATGTGAGGCCCTTGTTGGATATTTCAAGCGCAGGACAAATGAACAAGGTATGTTCTATTGGGATGTAGAAGTAGATCAAGAAGGCCGAATGACTAATTTTTTCTGGAGGGATGGGACAAGCCGGGTTGACTATGATAGTTTCGGAGATGTTGTGATATTTGATACATCATATCACACCAACAAGTATAATATGATATGTGCCCCATTTATCGGTGTGAATCACCACCGACAAAATGTCATGTTTGGCTGTGCATTTTTGTTAGATGAGTCCCTAACATCCTATGAATGGTTATTTAAGTCATTCTTGGAGTCTGTGGGTGGTCGTCCTCCTAAAACAATCTTTACTGATCAGAATGAATTTATCTCCAAGGCAATTGAAGATGTTCTTCCTGGGACACGTCATTGTCTTTGTCAACGGCTCATTGAAAAGAACATGCTGTCCCATTTAGGCACTATCAATGATTCTGGAACATGTCATAGCTTGCTTATAAAGTGCATGAGAGGATGTGAGTCAGAAGCAGAATTTGATGAAACATGGGCGATGATGCATCATGAGTATAATATGCAGGAACACCCGTGGCTCACTGATCTGTATCAGCAAAGGCATAAATGGTGCACAGCTCTTCATAAGGATGCATTTGATGGTGGGATCGAATCGATGGATAGGAATGAGGGTTTGAACAATGTTTTGAGCAACATCGATGATGAATCAACTTCACTTGCCACTTTTGTTCTTGAGTTGGATAAAATTGCAGGTAGTTGGCGTAAAACTGAGTCTTTAGAGGACATTCAGTGCAACCAGGCTGCTACGGAGTGTACAGTTAAGCATAACAGAAATTTGCAACATGCTGCCGAAGTTTACACACACAAGGTCTATAAGTATCTTGAAACAGATTTTCTAGATGGAACTGGTGCAACTTCATATCAGGAAGTTCAGTGTAATGAAACATTGTATAAGTTTGAGTTCGTTCTGCAAAGTAGTCCAAATGTTTGGGTAGTTTTCCTTAACACCTCTACCATGGAGTTGAGCTGTACTTGCAAAAAATTTGAGACCATGGGTGTACTTTGTTTACATGCTCTAAATGCACTTGGTCTTAAGAATGTCGATAGGATTCCTGAAAGGTATATTTTAAACCGTTGGACAAAATATGCCAGAAAAGGAACATATCCATTTCCAGTTGATGAATTTGCAGAACAAGATCGCTTTAGAAGCTGCATTTGTGTATCATAATAGGGCTATGTGGTTTGTTTATGATCTGCTGATGAAGAGCAAAAGTCATCATAATACAAGAAAACTAATTCTGGATGTACTTGAAAACGGAGAAAAATCACTGGAAAATATTTGTGACCTCAAAAGATTGCATATGAATCCCTTGGGAAAAGAGAAAGATGGAAATAGGGTTGAAAAGAGAAAGAAAAAATCAACTAAGCAAGAGAAACATTCAAGTATCTCCTCTTTCACTTGCATTCATCTTGCTTCAGCAATTATTAAGTTTGATTGAATAAAATAATTGTTTTTATAGGAAATGTGAAACAAGTGGTTTTGCCTCATCAGCCAGCTGACCCAGTTTTTGTCGATCCCCCAAATCAAGATCAATATTTTGCTGCAGAAGATATTGCATCAAACTCATCTGTTGGTAGACCTTACTTCTACCAGGTAGTGACCCTAACCATGTTTCTTTAGGAATATTGTTTTATTAACTGCTTCCAAATTACTGAATCATGCACCTTTACTTTTTAGGGATATCCTGCGACTATCGTTTCAACAAGTCAGATTCAGGGGCATACAAATATGCATTCTGAGCCTCAGTGTGCATCTCAGGTGCTTAAATGAGCTTTTTTTATTCTATATTTATCATAGTTGATGGCGGCATGTATGAAGGATTAGATGCAATTGGAAGCTGGAAAGCCTTCCTAGTAAAACTACAATTAATATGAGCCTTCTTAACACTAAGCAAATGAATACATGTAATAAGCTAACCTGGCATCTTTGCTTACTCTTTTCTTTTATTCTCAAACTTCCAAGACATACACAAAACTTGCTTTAAGTTCTAACTATTTATCAAGACAGACTTTGCATCAAACAAGGTTGGATTTTTGTAGGCTAGCTTGGTTTAGTTTCTAGATATTCCAAGTCATTTTGTTCAGAGTTTGTATATCCTTGTCTCCTCACTTCTTCAGTTGGGGTATTGACCTTCGAACCTATGACCCTTCTGTCACAGAGTCTAGTTCTCTACGTACATGCTAGGAAACATTTCCTGTTCCTTTTTGTACTGGTCTCTCTCGCCTTAGTTGCTTCAATTCTTTCAGCTTTTAGTAGTTTAGTAATTTTACTGAACTTGTGAATTGTGACAGGAATATTCAGCTTATGGCGCAGTTCAGCCACCATCGCAATTTGGTGGTGGAAGAAATTTCTGAAAGGTGTAGTGCCATTGACGTATGAATATCTGAAGCTTATATCTCTTCTACTGATTGTTGTATGTGAATGACTTGTTCATCTAGGCAATAGGCACTCAACCTAGCAACAGAAGGAATAGAGTTTGCTTTCTTCCATTTTGTGAATGTACTAACTGTAAATCTGTTATTCACAACTGTATGGAATATGGAAGCATCATGTTATAGGAAACAGATAAAATTTGTTTTCGAAATGTATCATTTATGTGCTAGCTAAACAAATAAGTAAGCATTATGATATACTTGTCCACCACTTGAGACTGATTGTCAAATTCAACCACCAAGTTCTTTACCTTGGAAGGGTATTCACTGAAGCACGGTCTAAGGAAGGAACTCAAAACATTTTTGGTACAGTCGGTTCCTGTTCAGTAAATTACGTAATTGTTTATGGATGGCATACTTATTTAAAAGTTTGCATTGAGAAACAAAACTGAGTCATGAAAATATTCTGCGCATAGTTTTAGGAGCATATAAATTCATTCTTTGAAGTTTGATGCAATTGGCTGTTGATGCAATTGGCTGAGCTTTGATGTTTGAATCACTTGATAGTTGAAGGCTTGAGTTTATATACCCGGTGCATAAAGTTACCATCTTTCAATTGCAAAGCAGTCTATTTTCCATGTGCTGCTTCTTGTTTTCAGTCGTTTTTTATTGTACTTTGTTTCCTCGTTTGCGCATTGCATTTGGTACTAAAAACAGTGCCACCATCCTGAAATGTTCTAACATCGACCAATAGTTGAGTCAGAATTTTTCGTCAGAACTCTGCACATGGAACTACAATTGGATATTTCTAATTTTGACAAAACCAACGATTTGAAGCAATCTGGCTGTACGACTCGCCATCCAGTAACTTCATTTTCCATATTTATTACCATCCCAAATCGCTCATTTTCCTTCAACGATGTGCCATCACCCTTAGTTTAGCTTGGTTAAACACGCTGTAAATAGACGGGTGTACCGGCCTCTGATCCCCTGTTTCTCTCCAATCTACGTGTGACCAACCCAGCCCAGTGCGGCTCCATCTCTCCTCTCCTCGTGCCCTTTCTTTCAGCAAACCAAGCCTTGCTCTTGTTAATTTTCGTGTCCCTGAAGTCTTGAAATATCTATCAAATATATGGCCCTTGCGGGGTCCTTATTGTCCATTTGTCACAAGTGTAGCATCCAAAACGAAAGATACAGATGTTGGAACTACAAATATGTTTATCATGCTTTTCCTTCAATAAAATAATAAACTAATACACCTTATAGTGGTGCTATTTTGATGAACCAGGTCATTTGTCTTTGAATCTTATACCAGCACTGGCAGCTAGGGGTGGACAAAATTTCACCAAAACTGATTAATCAAACCGAACCGATTTAACTAAAGTCGGTTAACTAAAGTTTTCGTGGTCTATTTAGTGAAGACTTTAGAGATATGGAGATTAATTAGATGAATATTGAACTTCAACTTAAGGTAAAGGTCTAGTTCAATTTTGGAATAAAGTGAATGTGCAATTAATGGGATTTTTGTAATCAAAAGGAGTCTCCAATTTATGATATTTAGATAAGATGCCAAACTAGGAACTTCGTGCAAATTTAGTGGTTTACCGATACTTTATAAATCTTTCTCTAGTTGTGAGGTCCATTGTTAGTAACTTGGTGCAATAGTTGGAAACCTTGAAACACTCTAGATCACATATACCGTGTACCTTAAACTCTATATTTGATTTGACGTTATACCTAGGATTTGAGTTGATGTTATTACTCTACATTATAAAATTTGTTATACCTAGGATTTGATTTGATGTTATACCTAGGCTAGTACTTGGTTTGTGCAATTACAGCAATCATGAGACATCCCCAATCACCTAAGTCTTGGAAAAATATTATTTTGATAAATTTCTAACAATTTTAGTTTGTTGCACAAGGCATGCTGCTATTGAGTATCACACTATTTAATTGATTGGAATCACACATGGAAGTGGCATATCTTCTTCTGATGTTCGGGTTGACCTCGGGTATCTATCGATGCCCGTTTTGAGATTCAACATTGGAGCAAATGATACTATAATCTTGAGTCTGGTAACACTCAATTAAAATCTACAGCTTAAGATCTCCAATCCCCAAAGGCACATGCTGATCAAACAGTCGAGATGTGCGTCAATTGTACTATCAGAGTGTGATATGGATGATCTCGATGTCTTTGTCGTGGCCACTTCTCCCTCTTGTCTAACGCCTTTGACAAGAACAAAAGGGAGAAGTGGCCACGACAAGTTCCCAATGTCGAATATTTTGTACAAGTCCGGTTACGTTAGGACTTTGAGTTGTATGTGGCACTATAGGATAAAGTTGGAGTCGAACTCAATTCGTTCTCATAAATATGATAGGAGGGCAAGAAGATGACTTGAGGGCAAGAAGGTCATTTCACATCACTCAGACATGCTGGCATGCCTATGTGTCCTGCCACGTATGCAAAAATGGCTCAAAGTTATAAAATCTTCTCTCTAGTGACAAATATGTAGGAACAATTCTATTAGTGACATTTGAAGATGTGCCAACCATTATAATGGCAAAATGTTAAATATTCCATAGTTAGTTCTTGGGATGTAGGCTTTGGCCGAACCTCGTAAACAAATATCCTGCCTTCTATGATGTTTATCTGAGATGCTTAAGATTCTCGATCAGACAGTGGCGGATCTAGGATGAAAGTTCAGGGGGCTAAAGTTGCGAGTTCATCGTCATCTTCAACCTCCAGCCTATCTTTCTCAAAGCAGCCATGGCAAAAAAATCTTATAGGGGCTCCATGAGATCAGCGGCGGTAGGGGGAGGGCTAGATCCGCCCCTGCGATGACATATACATAGCGTTTGGTTGACAGAAATGTAACGGGATATGATTACATGGGTAACGAGTTGCGTTTGTTGGGTGTTTGTTTCAGCCCCCTCAGTAATCAGATGGCGCGTTATTTAATACGGACCGGTAGACAGCTGATACCGCTCCAAATCGAGTGGAATGGGATGCCACTCATCCTCGTCTCTTCTTCGTGTGGGTGTAGGAGCCGCTGACACAAACCACCTGGTGCTACGCCTTCACGTGGCCGTGCAGGAGCTGTAGAGAACAAAAGGCGCTCGGTGCTAGCTGCTGAGGACGCGAGAGTGAGTGAAAGCGTTTCCATTACCGTCTAGAACCAAACAAATATTGTGATCTGATACATTGTTTACGTTACCGGTTTAATTATTGGATTCCATTACCGTTTACATTTACACTTACCAACCAAACAGCACCACCATAGTTGAAGACAGATACTATCTTTGGACATAGGCTGGATATCCGGTCAATGACATGCTCATTGGTTTTGCATTGGTTTACCTTCTCTCTCTCTCTCTCCCTCTCTCTCTCTCTCTATATATATACTTCGGCCTAGCATAAGCACGCTTGGCGCATTGGGCCGTGCCGAATGGCACGACAAGATTTTCCCTAGGCCCAGGCATGGCCTATGGCCCAGCAGCCCACCTCCGTGCCATGCCAGCTCAAACAGGCCCTCACTATATTTTTACTTATTTTCTCCAACCATTGGTAATATGAAACATTATATATTTTTTGAAATGCAAAAGACATCGAATTGGGAAATATGTATTTTATTAATTTGAAATTAGTACATTGCCTCATCAAAAACCTTACTATCATCAACCTTACTCATAACAGGGCTCCCTGGTAAGGAAAAGAGTACAATATACAATTACAAAAATAACTACTCATCATCAAAATTTTGCTTGTGTGCTATTTTCGTGCCATGTCGGTCTAAGCACGGCCCAAAATGCAGGCCGGGCCGTATAGCCCATCGTGCCGAGACCCTAGGCACTGCACGACCCTCACATTCATGTCGTGCTGGCACGGCTTAAAATATTTCGTGCCATGCCGTGCTTCGGGACCGTGCCATGGTCCGTCCTTAAATGGCACGGCCCATGTCCCAACTCTATATAATATCCATCTACGTACAATCTATCTATTGCGGTCGTGGTGCAGAAGGTTTTTGATCAGAGATATAGTGGACTTGTTATCCCCTCAGCGTGCTCACCGCTGAATCCAAGATTTCTTCACGCAGCCTGCTGACCAAACAAAACAGCCCGGTAAGCAGCAGTAGCAGCTGTTTGGTACAACTTCAGGTGCTCCGGCTCTAGCTCTAAAAGCATTGTATGATACCCTTAGACACTATAGGTACTATAGCATATAAAAAAATGGCTCTGGCTCCTTAAAAAAAATGAACTGAGAAACGGAGGAACCAGAGCAGCTAGGGTTTAGGGGCTCCGGCTGGTTCCAGTCGGAGCCTGGTTGGAGCCCATACTCAGCCGCACGCTATATACTCAACCAAGGACGAAGATGGTAACCACTGTAGTGCTCTTCCTGTAACTGCCATCAACATCACCTGCAGCCAGATCACTATCATTGAAACCATTCAACGTTGGCTGCACTTGTTCCTTGTATAGAAGACTGATTTGCCCAAAACCACGTTTGTCACCACCAAGTCCGCTGGCGCTGGGAGACGAACTGGTCAGGGCCAAAATCGTACCTAAACAAACGCGGCAGTAGGGCATCGAATAACTCAATTGCATTGCAGGTGATTGATCGTCGGTGTGTCACCATGCAGCCTTTGAGTGTCCGCGTCAACGGTGGTGACATCTTTGGAGTCTGATCCCAATTTCCGAACGCCTGGCTGACTGTTCTCTGCAGTCACAGATCTATCCCGTCCATTTTTCATCCAACGGTGAGGCTCCAATGCTCCATGCCGGATAAACACAGCACTCGGCCCCATCTCAGCCCAAGACGACTTCGTCTTCGTCTTCCTCGTTTTCAGCCGGCCCTATGCAGTGCGCACGCGGCGAGCGGGGTGGCCGCTGGCCGGCGCGGGGCCGCGGTTGCGTAGGAAGACGACAGCCTGTTCCTCGAGTCACTATGCGCACTCGGCGCGGTCACCGCGGTCTCGCTA